GGCTGTGTTAGACGGGAAAGAAGGAAAGAAAAATTTTCCAACCGCTGCACCACTGGCCATCGTTTACCTCCAGCATTAATATTATTTGTTTTTTCTTTCTTTATTTGAGATCTTGGTGCTGTATGATGCGAGCTTCATCGCCGCCAGCCAGAACTGTCTTGGGTTTTGATGACAGCATCCACGGATGTATGGTAAACACAGAACTTAGTTCATTACTTCTTTGTCATAATGTGATTTTCGCCTGAAGATCACAAAAAATGGATAACTAGTGGCAAGCATTGAATCTCTGATGGAAGATCGGATTCGCCCCCCCCCCATGACTTTTGCTGTGAATCCGTATAGGTCTACCTACTGAGCCATCCCAAGTCAAACCCAACAAGAAAGGCACCGTAACAATTTGTTTCACAATCTATTTGCGTATTAACCATAAAGCGATGAAATAAGGTTAGTGAGTTGCTTTGCCTGCGAATATAAATGCCAATCAATTTCCCTCCTTGTTGCTGTTCGCAAGTTGACTGTGCAAAATAAACAGAAGGCGGTACTCACCGGCACAAGTAGAAAATGGGATGCCTAACTGCAACAGTGCGACGTATGCTACGAATTCCTTTGCTTCCTGAGCATCAATAAAAAGTTTGTTCGCCTGGAAACTGCCATACGACTGGATCAGCGACGGTATAACCAGCTTGTAAGCATAAAGAGGCAAGTCCTGGCCGCTGCTCGATTTACTCAACGTCGTTACCAGCTGGTACTGAGGGGCACCCCAGTTGCTTTGCTCACAGTAGTCTTCTAGCAGCTGAAAGAAAAAAGAACAACAATAGCAGACATCGAAACACAGTGATCTGCACGATCGCAAAGTATACTTTGTAGTAAAATTGTTTCAGCATCTGAAATAGCAGACTGCATAGAATTTGTTGGTTTTACACGACGCTAACGGATTCTGATGGCTCATGTTTATGCCACTGCCAAACACGTACGGCAAGAAGTGGTCAATTTCCGGGAAAAAAACAGGATCTGCAGCCGGTTAGGAATTGAAATTACAGATCGAGATGAGGAGAGTGTAATTTCAATACAATTTAAACCGTGTTTCTCGGATGCGTGTTATCATCAGCAAGTTGTGACAGGTTTCATTGTCCCTGCTATCATTTTAAGACTACGCTGAGCTTCGGAAAGTTGCAAAGCTCTTCAGAGTGATTATTTATTTATGGTTATTGCAGAAGAGTCGTTACGTCAAGCATAAGAATAAGACGGGGCAGTGGTACGGTTGCAAACAGATTAGCTTCGAACTCCGGCGGTGCGTGCAAGTCTGATTTTACAGCTATAAGCGTTTCTACATATGCAGCCCGATTTCATAATCTGTCCTCGTCGTTCATCTCTTGAAAAGATATACATAACTAAAGTACGAAACTACACCAGAGAGCAACACCAACAGTGCATTTATGACCTATAACAGTATCCACGAATTCAGATTACGAACTCGGTAATTGTCAATTATCAAAGTTCTGGCACTGAGAATTGATAGATGCAAATTTGCCTTTAAGGCAGATTTGTCCTTGTGAATAAACGCTCGCACTTAAGGACTCTTAAACATTATTCATGTCAACCCTCCAGGGAAGTATGTAAATATAACACCTGTAGTATATAATGAAAAGCAAATGGCAACTCCTAGACAGTACAAATTTATAACTGGTTTAACGATGCCTGACGTACAATATCGGGGAAACAATCAAATACAATCTTTCCACCTTGGATGGCCAAAGGTGGAAACTCTAACCTAATAACGCTGTTATAACCTGCGCATCATGTACACACATCGACACAGCGAATGACATTCATTACTGTTATATATAGCACAGAAAACATAACCAACTTCAGATTCATCAAATTTAACCATCATTGAGATACAACGAAAGTTAATTTTAAACTTTGAAGCATTCATTTAATGCAAACTCTCATGAAGAATCTCTTCGAATGATTTTAGCATATGACCTCATTGGAATACGTACTTCCAAGCTCGCTCTGCAAATATGTACATAAAGGGAAACAAAAATTTGGCAATTTCATATAAAACACTGGTACTCGCAGAAACACCGCCATGGTGAGGCTGAGGTCGGTATCGACCAACAGCAGAAAACACTGAACAACGAGGAAATCATCATATCAGGAAGATGCACATGAGGAACTCGCCAATGTCTTCAGAATAAAAAGGTACGGGAATGATACAGCGGTACAGTTGGAAAATGAAACATATCCTCACTCAGAGGTAAACAGCAGTAGCTAGCTGATGAGGTCTCATTGTACCAACGCGAGATAGTTCGACTTCCGTCAAAGAAGCGGCAAGTCTTTGGAATTTCGAATCTCTGCGAGTGGATGCCATTCTACTCAACGACCGGTACTGGTGTTCTGGTAGAACCCAACCTCGTAGATAGAATAATTGATCGGATGCCTATCAGCGGAAGGGGGGATTCCCTCTGACTGAGGATACAAGAGGCTAAATTGTTCACATTGGTACAGGTCCACGAACTAAACTTGGAGGAACAGCATGATTCCTTTCTTGAGGAAGTGGAACGAAGTACCGAATACGGAATCCCTCATACTCATGAACGATTTTAATGCGTGTCGGAGTGCATGCTCAAAAGTGGAACGGCGTGATTGGAAAAAAACGGCCCTAGTGACCTCAACAATAGCGGCATGAAGTTGTTGCAGTTTTGTGCAAACAACGGATTGTCCATTATGAACACCCTCTTCGAGCATGGAAAAGTGCATCAGCAAACCTGGTACCGGAAATAAGTGCACAGAAGTTGATGATCGATTTGATAATCGTACCGTCTGACCTAAGACGCTCAGCAGTGGATGTTCGCGTTAAAAGAGGCGCAGAGCTATCAACCGATCGCCACCTTGCTGTTGGCACGCTGCGCTGTAAGAAATGGAGTACCA